TATTGCCAGCACTTCAACACAAGGAAACTCAACAGCCGGGAAATATTAATGTGACAACCGAGGGAAGAACTAGGAAAGAGGTAACAAGAGTGCGAGTGAGCGGAGATATGAGACATGATTCAGAAAGTGACCTCCTGATGCGTGTGTTCAGAAGATGAGTTTCTTGCCTGAGCTGAGGAGTGACTCTGCGGTTCTGAGACACATGGGAAGGTCTCTGAAGGTTAGCAGAGAGGGAAGAGTCCTGAACGAGCTTCAGGTCGGAAGGGAAGAGGATGCTGGGATTGTAGCACCACCAACAGCTCTTAACCGTAGCTGAGCGACTGTGGAAGTAGGGATACACCACATTTCCCCTCCCTAAAAATCTTAAACCCAGAGACTGTTAGTTCTGTTAGTTGATGCAACACAGACTAGCGCTTTATTAACCCAACAACATGCAGGCCAAACTGTCCCTGTATCTTTGGAGAAATCAAAGTGGGTAATGGTAGCTATGTAGGGATAGTAGCTTAGTAAACTAGCCTGCTGACCTTCCATAAACATGAATGTGCATTTAATTTATGCTTTTATAACCCTTTTTGTATTCATGCTAATTAGCTAGTCTGTGCACTGAGCAACTGTAGCAGCTGAATGAAAAAAGGGTGAGGAAAGGAAAATTTAAAAAAGGAGACAGGAGAGAAGAGAGGACTGAAACTAGTGGGAGACAAGAAGGAGAGAAAGGAGGGAGAGAAGTGGATACGCGCTAAAGAAAACAAGTATACGTCAAAAAATATGAACGTCGTAGTTTAATAAAATTAATTCAGTTTTATTTTTTATGTAGCCTGCTCTTATTTTATTCAGGCTAGTAACCTAGCTAACTTGTAGCATAACAAGGTCTCCTATTAGCCAAAACAATTGGCTGATAGGAGACCGGGAGGAGAGAAAAGAGGGAGAGAGGATGAGAGGATGAGGCAGGCAGAATTTCAGTTTTCCTGTCTAACACGTTTAGTCACTTTCTGTCAATGAAATACTGAGACAAGCAGAGAGAACGTCCTAGCTTGTCTTTAGGAGATAACAAAAATGTAGCACTTTATTGAGATAACAATATGCTAACCAAACTTTTACGGTATCTATTATTTTGTCAAAGCTAGTTCAAAGTAGCCAAGTTAACCCTCTGTTGGTTGCTAGCTGGTCTGCTGATCTTCCAAGATCATGAATTAATGAAAAATAACCTTTTTTTAGAGTTTGGTTAGCAAATCTGTACATCTGCACAACTGAGATACGGAGGGTAAAGAAAAGGAAATAATAAAGGAGACAGAGAAACAGAGGAGACTGGGAGAGAACAGAAAATTATGAGAGGCGAGGTGGAGAGAAAGGAGAAAGAGAGAGGAGCCAGATGGAAATAAATGGGCCGTACAAAAGCAATTCTGTCAACAGCCCAGAGTGGGAAGACATGAAGGCATAGAGGAGCAATAGAGGAGGAGGAGGAAATAGATGTTTAGTTTGGGTCCACCAATAACCTAAATAGACTTGTTTTGCTGCAGGTCTAGGTGGGAGGTGGGATAAGGAATGCACCCGGCTGGGGGGGGAACAAGAGTAGGTAAATCCTACCCAAACCTCTGTTTGCTCTGTGTATCAACTGGAAGAGAAGGATGCTAGGCTAACATCAATAAAAAACTGAATGCACCTCCTCTGGGGATTTTGTGGGATTGCAAATGAGAAGCTGCAGTCAGGCAGCAGACTGCAACCCACTCCGTCCTCCTTGCTCCTCAGTGCAGGAACCGATCTTATCAACCATAGTTTAAAAACTGGTTCAATAGGTCAACCCTTCAACTACAGTATAATGCTCCATGATATGCAATATACAATATATAATCTCAAAACGTAGTCACTGAAATGATAACTTTAAGGCCACAAAAGGCCACCATAGTGAATAGTCGGAGACCTGGGTAAGACGATGTAACATCCTCGCCCTGTTTCCCCCTTTCTGTCTCCTCCCCTCTCTAATCGTCTGTCCTTGTCTTTGTCACTTACGGATGATTGGCAGGCCTGCTTTATCCCTCTCTTCCACAATCAGACAATAAATTGAGGGTTTTAATGGGTCTGGGTGAAATCACTTTGACTCAACAAGCATTTGTATTGGGTCATTAAAAGGCTGGGTTGCGACAGTGATAAATGTCCCCAGTGCAATGCAGAGGCGAAATGTGTAAACACACAGAGAGAGGGATTGTTCCTATTATTCGGGTTGTCGCCTACATCAGCCTTAGTTTCGCACAGCAATTAGCGATGGCGTCTTCCCGAAGATGAAAACGAGTATTCCCAGCGCTCTCATTTCTGTGTCCTCCTCTTCTCTCCCATTCCCTCCGTATTTTTCCTTTCTTGTATCTATTCATTTGGTATTTCTTTCTCACACTCCTCTCTGTCTTACGTTGATCAGAGTGACCTTGAATATTGGAGGTGGGTTTTTCAGCTTTGATTTGGATTGGACCAATATGAGCTTTGGAAAGTCAAAGCCTACATTGTTGTAATCAAACTGCCAATCCGTCTGCCTTAAAATGTTTTTTTATGGATAAAAATGTTCACATTTGTTAAACTATTTCCAAAGGTCATTCCAAAAAAATAGTCCTCTTGCTGTGTAGGGTCTGATACAGGGTCTGATACAGAAATTACAGACGTTGAATGCCGTGATTGACCAATCAGAATTGAGTATTCGGCACGGCAATATATAAAACCAATTTAGTTGTGAGTGCCTCTCTCTTTCTCTTCCATCCTCCTTTCCCCATCATCAGTTTCTGTCAGCTTTAAGTCTCTTATCCTGTCTTCTTCAATGTCTCCACTGGGTGAATCAGAGAAGCTTTGAGGTTTTTGTTGAGTCACCCCCTTGGCCCTTCAAACTCACACATGCACCACACAGCAACTCACACTTTGCACACGACCCCTGTCTTTCATTTGTTTGCCCCCCTGTGTTGGTATGAAAATATGTACTGTCGCCTACTTTGTGACTGAAGGATGTATGGTCTCTTTTTTGAGAGAAGGTACAAACTTTTTGGTGTGCACTGTGCCGTCAGTAAAACCAACATGGAAACATCACTCCCGTCCCACAAACCAACTGTAGTAAACTTTTGCAAACGAAAAAGTTGCACCAACAAGAGCGTTTCTGTGTTAAAAAAAAAAGACAACCATGTAGGGTCGCCTGAGGTCCACTTCCCTTTCGAGAGTGTAAATAGAAATAATGAAAAAGGTGAGATTCAACAAAAGTAAAAAAAAAGAGAACATTGGGGGGAGCGAGGCCATGGTCAGTGCCGGCTGAAAAGATAATAGAGAGTCAGAGACAGAGAGGCAATGAAGAGAGGAGCGACTGAGCAAAGAGAGGGGGCTGTGATGGAGGAAGTTTATAGAGAGAAAGATTACAAAGAAGAAAGAATAGAAAATAGCAGTCCGTCCGCAAGAAGAATATCTTTTAGTGAAAGGAGAGGCAGTCTGGAACATTGTGACACTGGAGGACAGTAAATCAACATTTCCAATTTCGGTGTGCGCTAACCATTTAAAGTTGGTAATACACCGAGCCTACTCATTCAATCAATGTCAGCACAGACAATAGAGTACAATAGAATAGTGACTATCATCCCCAAGGCCTATGTGTAACTTCAACACTGGAGACTGTCGTTCTTTCAACCGCGTACTGTAGGTGATCTTTCTCTAACCATAACCAGGTAGTGTTGGTTGCCTTAATGTAACCAGGCAGATCAGAAATACTCATGTGAGGCACTTAATTGACCTATTTCATCAAAGAGTGGAATAGAAGAGAAAAATCCTCCTTGCCGAAACATCCAATCCCGTTTTGGTAGAAATGCGTGTCAGTACATGAGGTACACTACTGCACAACACCAGTAAAGTCAATACGTTTTGGCTTAAAAAAGGGGGTCAAAGCGCTCGTAAAAGTGATATGCATGCGCGGCTATTTTAATTGCATGCGCGGGAACTCTACATACACCACACAGGTGCGCGGTAATAAGTAAACGCAATAATGGCTGTGACAGTAGAAATGGGTTTGTGTGTGTGCGTGTGTGCGTGTGTGCGTGGTCGGTCTTGCCGCAGCCTGTTATTTTCCATTTTAATTTGTTGATGCCTGTGGTCTTTTCATGGCTTTCAGAAGCTACCAGTGAATGAATCAGTAATTATTTTTAGCTGGTTTTTAAATGTTGTTCCTGCTGCTGGTTCTCTGGCAATGAGAAGATAATTGAATTTGTTAGAATGCAGTGACAATTACCAGGCTGACTTCTCCTGTAGTGCTTATTCATTTACAATAATGCATTCAATAAAGTAAGATATTTTTCTCATTTAATATTGGGGTGGCGTCAACCAACGGCACTTATTACATTCACTCTGCTCCCGCAGCAGAAAGAATATCAATATTATAGCGTAATTGTGTTCAGCAATGAATTTGTAATATACATTTTGAAACAACGTCCACACAAACTGTTTTGAAAGTCAGAAAGGTTTCATTAGAGTTTGTTTACTTGCCAAAATAAATTGATCGTAGCTAAAACATTTAGGTTCTATGTCGCAAGCGATAAATCTGACAAGCTTTCCATTCTTGCATATAATAAGGTCTACAATAACAATGGTGGCAACTCCAAATTTTCGGGAAAATATGACAGAATTGTTCGACTTCAACAGGCTTCTGATTTCTAACCTGCAATCGTTAATTGTGTTGGCTGAAAGCTACTGTTAGCAGGAAGCTAATGTCTGAGTTAGTTGACTTTTTAATGTTTTAAGTGGACTTGGTTTAAAAAGGTTTTTTGTCATAGTATGTATTTTATCAATATCTTGTATGTAGAATGTGTGCAGTTGATAGCTACATACTTGCTATTAATCTAACTAATTTCACTCACAAAATATCTTTTTAAAACAATGTCCTGGTTGCTCTTGATGATATAAGGATCTCGCGAACAATATTAAATAGTCAAACTGTTCCAATGTTTTTTTTCAGTGTTGTAAGGACTTTCTTTGTCCCTCTCTTGCAGGGGTCCGATGGGTAGCCCCAAGCTTGGCATGCAACAAGGAGGCCACGGAGGAGGAGGAATGGGAGGAATAGGTGGAGGTGGAATGGGAGGAGGAGGAATGGGAGGAATAGGGGGAGGAGGGATGGGAGTAGGAGGGATGGGAGGAGGAGGGATGGGAGGGATGGGAGTAGGAATGGGCGGAGGTGGAGGAGTAGGGTCCAGGGCTGGCGAGCCCTACCGCCTGGCCACTCACGAGACTCCGACCTCCCCCCGACATATGCAGTCAAGCCAGGGGCCCGGCATGGGGCATGGCCCAGGGTCCGGCCACGGGATAGGTCACGGTCCAGCGGGGTCCGGCATGGTAGGCCATGGGGGTCATCCAAGTCCTGGTCAGCACAACTCCCGTCGAAACCTCCAAGTCGACTTCAGCGGTTCGGGCGGCTCCAGGACAGGCCGGTCTCCCTCTGCGTCTCCCGATCGCGGCGTGACGCCCACCTCGCCCTACTCGGTGCCGCAGATCGCACCGATGCCGAGCAGCAAACTGTGCCCGGTGTGCACCACCACAGAGCTGTCCAACCCACCGGCTCTACCCAACTACAACACCTGCACCCAGTGCAAGTCCACCGTCTGTAACCAGTGTGGATTCAACCCTAACCCGCACCTCACTGAGGTAGGTCATGTTTGACAAGGAGATGCATGTGTGAGTGTGTTCATCTGTGTGTGTTTGTGTGTGGAACGGTTTGACATTTTCTTCTTTCCTCATGCCTGTCCTTACTTTGCCACTGTAAATTAGTGCAACAAGGGAAGATTGTTGTAGTTTACTTGCGGCATAAATGGAATCAATAATGAAAATAATGTTGATTTATAGTGAGGGACCAAGCATTTGGGTATGAATATAATTTAATCCTGGAGGCGGACTGAAGCCACAGTTGATTGGTTTACGATGATAAACAACAAGGGGAAGTTTATTCCAAAAGCATGCAACTGAAGTTTGAGTCTGAAAACCGGTCCAGCAGCGACAGACAGGATAAAGATTTTGTCTGGCCTGTCGCTCGAGTCGGCGAGGGAGGAGAGGGAGGAGAGGGGAAGAGATGCTTTTGCTTTGGCTGTAGCTGCTTTTGTTGTTTTCGTGCCAATTTTGACTTGAATGAGATTGAACTGAAGCGAGTGAATGAAGTGAACGAGTCAGTGCAGAGAAAGTGATGGAAGAAGTGAGAGGGAGGGTTTGAGGCGAGGGAGATGAATAGGGTCAGAGAGAGAGAGAGAGAGAGAGAGAAATCAGTTCCCTCTGAAAAATCTTCTAATTTCTTTGTGAAATGTGAGAAAATTATAATGCCAAGGTTGAACTATTTATCCATTTATAAATGTAATTTAAATGCATGAATGATTAGAGGAATGAGAGCAATAGAAACCATAGAAGTTGTGTGTGTGTGTGTGTGTGTGTGGCTTTGTACTGTAGGTCTTTGTCTGTATTTGTGATAGACAGTGAGTGTAAGGGCTCAGCAAGTGGCAGTAATTCCTCCCTGAGGCCCTGACAGAATCTCTATTAATGTGCCGAGGCAAGACACACGGATCGTGACAGAGTGTGTGTGTGTGTGTGTGTGTGTGTGTGTGTGTGTGTGTGTGTGTGAGTTCATTGTACTCCTCACAGGTGTGATGTGAAGACAGGAAGTCAAACACCACAGTGTTTGGCACTCAGAGAGAGATGGAGGGAAAATAAACTGAGAAGTCAAAGACAAATGAATGCGACTAAAGTTATTGAGAGATGGCTGGAGAGATGGAGAGGAGAGAGGAGGTTAGGAGGCCCTCTTTGATTGAGAGGAGGTTGACGCTTCACCCTTTGGTGACGGGTTCAAACCCCCGGTGTCAGCGTCATGGTGACAAATATCAAATCTCAGCCTCCCTGGGTAGACGGGAAATACTTTAGACAGCAAACAGAACCAGAAGCACGAGGCCACGTCTAATATATTAGCCATGCTGGCACGCATTAATTCCCACTGATGTCAGGTCTAGGGACATATCATTGGCAGACAGCACGATAAACACTCTGCTGGATTAAACAAACAATGGCGGTTGTTGTTGTTGTTGTTGTGTTTCATTTTTCATTTGCTTTTGTGGGGGAGAACATTGGCACCTGAATCATCCATGTGTACCTCGTTCCCCCTGATGGCTCATGCTAACACATTAGCATCCAATGCCAAACTATAGTAAAAGACTCACAACAACGCTGATGTACGGTGCGGGTAATTAGAAGTGCTATTTGTATTTTTCATTTTAATTTGTGGTATTTTGCAGATTCAACACAAACTGGTGCCTCTAATATAACAATAGAGTTGTATCCCATGCTCTCTGACGCAGTGTCTCTTTAAGAGGGATTTAAAATTTTTATTTAATAAACTTTAAGAATATATACCCCTTCCCTCCCGCCCTCAGCAAAGTTTCTCGCTCTCAATGTTAAGTCCGTTGCTCTGAGCGTCTAATAATGAATCAGATGGGTTTATAAAGTTAGTTGAAAGATAAGTCTCATACAGACACTTAAGGGTGCCGTGTGTGTTTTTATCAAGACACCTCGGGCCACCGGCCAATCGGCGGTATTTGACACCCTGGGAGTGAAACCAGGCTGACCGGTCAAACAGGAGCGCTTGATTTGGCACAGCAGTGAAATTTAAACACAGTGCCAATGTTTTACCTGAGCATGTTGGCGCTTGACACCCAAATCCAAGCAGGAGACGCAGGATGTCAGTTTCCAGAAAACGTTAAAAGGTTAGCAGTCATTCTCAGCACAGCATGTCACGACGGTTTTACTGGTTGTGAGCTCAAAGACCTCTACTGTATGTACAGTAAGGCAGCTTATGTCTGGCTCATGTGGGATCATCTTTAAGACCGAGTTTTGATTTCTGCTCAGGTACACAGTGGTCCTGTGTGTGTGTGTTTCAGTGTGTGTGTGTGTGTGTGTGTGTGTGTGTGAGAGAGAGAGAGAGAGAGAGTACTACAGGGTAATAATGGTGGATAATGCTAATAAAGTGGAGGGAGGGAGGAGTTGATAAGCCTCTGAGTTCGGGATTTTGACTTTGCTTGTGATAGATTAACAAACACACACACGCCCACACACAGTCACACACAGTCACACACACACACACGCACACAGTCACACACAGTTACCCTCACTTGGCTCAGCATAATTCATGCAAGCAGCCTGAGCAATAAATTGGTATGTTGATTAATTGAAGGAACCCACAGGGATTTCCTGCAGAGCAAAATGGAATACATAACATGAAATGCAACACAACAGCATCACATCCAACCCTCGCCTACAACACTCTTTGTTCCTGTCGCACATAATCGTATAGGAGGAGGGTTGAAAAATACTTAATTTATGATGCACACAAATGTGCATGGCACACAAAGCTCTGCTGCATTTGACTCTCGACTCCACCATCTTGTACAGATTAATACACTGGCCCCGCCATTGTTTTTGTTTCCATGAATTATGGATTAGCTCTCTATTCCTATTAACATTCACTATCTTCTCCATTATTATTATTGTCCCTGCTAAGCAATGTTCTCTTAATCCTGATAATCTAATAAACAGCACCACCCTGCAAAACCTTGTTACTCTTTGATGCCGTTAACATTAAGGTGACTTAGCCCCACGGCTGTGTGAGATTAATACACATTAGCATGCCACGTACGTCTGTTCACTTCAGAGGACACCCACGCAGACAATTTCACAAGTTCTCGTTCACAGCGGTGGCTCGAAATGTCATAGGAAATGTGCATATAAGATGTACTGTCCTGATATTTTAAAACCTCTATGATCAAAAAACTCCATACATTTTTACATTTTTAAAAACTTAATTTTAAATGTCACAAACTTTCCCCTTCCCTCAGCTCAGTTGGGCAGGGCTCAAGCCTTGTTGCGTCTGCAGCTATGGATTAAAACTTAAACTGAACATTATCCATTATTATCCCAGCTAATCAATGTACTGCATGTCCTGGTAATCTAATAAGCAGTGCCAGGCTTCATATCCGCCATACTACACTCTGAAACCATTTGCATCACGTAACATTTAGCAGACTTTAGCCAGGCAAGCCAAAGAAATGATTGTATAAATAGGTCCGGTATCTTTCATTATGATTGTTTAACCAGCACAAAGCCACACATGTAGTCCCCTCATGCCATCAAAATGAAATTTGTTCTTCATGTTTAAACAGAACTTGATTGAATAAAATCAAAATCGCTAAAGCGGTAGAGAAAAACAATCAAAATAAAATTAATAAGAAGTCAGTTCTTGATCTTAATAGCACATAATGATAAAGAAAATGTCCAGTTACTGTACAGCTGTATGTTGAGGGTCGACCACCCTGTCTAGATTCGAATGACAGATCATTATTGTATTTAATCGATGGCACTCTCTCTCCTGGTAATCTAATAAACACTGCCAGCTCCATATCTTGTTACGTTCTGACGCCTCCTGCATCAGATAACATTTAGAAGAGCAAATCAGGAGAGTGACACCAATTAGAAGGCCAAAGAAGAGGATCAGAGAGATTGTAGTTGATGTATCTGATTCAGGAAGGGTGGCATTTAGGAAACTATTAGGATTATTATTAGGATAATGATGTGTGATGGGATTTGTGGAATATGTCTTGCACCGAGATAGATATACAGTATATACTGCAGATCATAGGTATGGGCATATGATCATATGATAGGGCTTTACATTATTGTATTTGTCTGATCCATGGATGTAAAAAGAGAACTGAATACAGTGTTTGGGCCACGTTCATTTCAATTAAAATGTAAGTGTTCATACTGGGGAGTTGTTTACCTCAAAAAAATTATCCGCTGATTCACAAACATCTGTTTCCCAATGTAAGTCTTTGGGAAAAAGGTTTTGCCATTATGTCAAATTGGCTTGAAAGCCTGGCGCTCTTCCATGGGGCTAACTGTCCTTGCGTACATGTACAGTAAGGGAAAATAATCATTGATTTAACGAGTACTGCCTGCACAGATTGACTCTAAATCACACATTCTGTCATTTTGATCCAAGTTGAATCTTTATTGCCCTCTAAACATGTCACTTTTATTGGTGGAAAAGTCTTTAAAAAGAATCCGTCACCAAACTGCACATATTCACTTAGACAGGGTTTTTAAGCCACGCTAGCAGCTCTAGAGATGCCAGCGTTGGTCTGTCAGTGGTTCAGGCCACTGCTTTGGTCCAGACTGAGAACATCTACTGGCTCATCTGATCCCCTCACTTTTCCTCTAACGCCACCTTGAGGCTCACATTTGTGGTTTTGAGCGAAACTAGGATGGATTGAAACTTGGTACAAATATCTACAAAAATAACTGTATTCCCATCATCCTCAGCTGATACCTTTCACTTTTTTTCTAAGTAGCAAATGCTAAAGTGGTATGGTGAACATGGTATAAACATTATACTTGCTTACATGTTTTTGTGACTATGGTCTATTTCATGTATTCATGTATGCTGTTGTTGTCTGTGTAGCACCTTAAAAGGATGAACCCCGAGTGTTGCAGCTCTCATGAATATGTACGAGGGATATAGAAACACCCACGCGCCATGTATTTGCAATTCATTTATATGCGTTATTCAAACCTTGAAAAAGTACACCTGGGATGGATGCTGATGCTTTGGAGGTTCA